CGGCTCTCGGGGCTCTGCCCCGGCCGGGGAGCGGCAGCGGCCGGCGGCGAGCGGCGCTCCCGGCCCCGGCCATGCCCCGCTGCCCCTGCCTGGCCGAGCACTTCCAGGAGCATTTCCCGATCAACCCAGAAGTGCCTGAACGCCCCGAGGAATCCCAGGAGCGCGCACAGCAATATGGTTATTACCGGATGATATTTGGGAAGAAAGTGCTAATGGGCAATCTGGTGTTTATTTTGAAACTGCTAACAATGATTTTTCTCTGGTAAAAGGCAGTGTCTGGGCTCACGGCTGAGTGGGCTTTGAGCATGGGCTCTAACAGATGGTGCGGAGCTCGAGGTGCGGGATCGGCCCTGCGCTCCCGGCGCCCGCCGGGCTGGGGGAACGCCGGGCTGCGAGCAGCCTCCCTGCCTGCGGTTCCCTGCTTCCCTGACTGCTTCCCTGACTGCTTCCCTGACTGCTTCCCTGCTTCCCTGCCTCTCCTCTCGCCTCCCTGACTGCTTCCCTCCCTCTCCTCCTGCCTTCCCTGCCTCCCTGCCTGCTTCCCTGCTTCTCTGCCTCTCCTCCTGCCTTCCCTGCCTGCCTCCCTGCCTCTCCTCCTGCCTTCCCGCATCCCTGCCTGCCTGGCCGTGTCCCCGCACAGCCCGGGCTGTGAATGAGGGCTGGGGTCCGAGCGAGCCCCCGGCCGGAGCCCCCCGGGGCTCGCAGCGCTCCGGCAGCCCCGCGGAGGGGCCGGGGGGGTCCCCACCTCCAGGTATTGTTTTGCAAACAGAGGGGGTCATAGATGACAGCGCAGACATAACAAGGCGGCTGTGGCCGCGAGTGTTTGTTGTCGCAGCGTGCCATATAACTTCTGGTGATTGTTACTTTTCCTCTGATGAAACCACGTATTTATAAGTGATTTATTTTTTATTTTGTAGCACAAACAGAAATCCATAAACTGTCGGTTCAGCGCCATTGACTCTTTGATCAGTTACTGGGCTATTTTTTTTCCTCTCCCGTCAGCGAGGAGAGATTAAAAGCCTTTATTTTCAGCCCTTTTTCTGCTGCAAAGGTACGAGCCGAAATGGACAATAAAAGTGCACCTCGAATTCATCCTCTCTGCTCCTTTATTCGGCGCTAACGAAACTTATAGCTGCCTATGTCAGCCTCTTAATTACACCACTACAGCGATTTCCGAAAACATTTAGCTGCTGTATACAAAGGAAATAAACCCACATTGTCAACTCGAGAGCGCTCCGGAGTTTAAAAGGCTGCTCTGTAACCCAGCGAAATAATTATTGAAGGGTACGACGCCTCCGTCTTTGTCAGAGTAATTGTACTTGGCCTGTCAGCTCCGCTTTTCTCCGGGAGGAAATCCCACTATTTTACTCCTGGAGGTTTTTACATCCAGCCCGGCTTTAGGCAGCAGGAGTAGAAAGTTTCTGCGGGGTGGGAGCGCGGCCGTGCGCGCAGCTTGCGCGGGGCCCACCCCGACCCGGGGGACTCTCCTGCCCGCGCCTCGGGGGCTGCAAAGTTCCCAAAAATAATGGATGTGGACAGGCTGGCCTCGGCCGGCAGTGCAGAACAGGCAGCGGTGTTACAGCCCGGCAGGCTGGGGGAATGGTTTTAATTTCCATCGCTGGGATCTGATTTCAAGAACACTGGAAATTATTCCCCATTCTCACCTTCCTCCCTACTCCTCCAAAAGATATTTAATAAATAACAATAATAAAAAAAATAAAAAGTCGTGAAATATCTCTCCAGGAAAAAATAATTAAAAAATGAAAAAAAGAAATAAAGTTGATTAAATCCCAAGCTCTGTGTCTGTAATTGCTGTGGTGCAACGCTGATAACAAGTAGTTATCATCGGAAAAGTTGACCAAGACAGGTTAAATAATTTAATAAGGAACTGCTTGTAATTATGTTATTTACAAGGTATGACAGAGGTTTGAGGAAGAAACAGAAGCTGATCTCAGGGAAATGGACGGGTTTGGGTGACCCCTGGAGCATGGAGTTTGAATTATGGAGATGGGGGGCTGAGAGGTGAATATGGACTAGAGGAGAACAAGATGACTTTTCACCTCAGCACATTTAACTTTTAAATCCAAATAAACGTCTCGCGTTACTGGATGGTCGCGTTATAAAAGAAAAAGGACTAATCCCGGCCAGTTTCAGAGTGTGGGGAAGGGGCTGCCCTTTCCTCACCGAGGAAAAAAATATCTTAAAAAAAAAAAAAAGTTATAGAGGGGGAAAAGTGCATTTAAAAATAAATCTGGGTAACTCGGTGGGATTTTTTTTTTCCTTTTCCTTTCTCCCTCGCTAAATTAATTATATCAAACATCTGTTCCCATGACGTCGTCCTCGATGCCACACACACCACTGAATGATCTCAACGCTGCCTCGAAGAGCAACAACACCACACCTTTTTGGCTTTCCCAAATATCCTCCGGTAATCGGGATCTCAGTCAGCAGCTCCCTGATTTACTCGCTCAGGTAAATTAAAAGTAGGCGCGCTCCGGGGGTTCGCTCGCCCCCCACCTTTCCAAGCGAGGGCAAAATACAAACTTAGGAACTCGCGCGGTAAGAAAAGAGAAAACTTTCTCACCTGTTTGGTCATGGAGTCTATTAGCCGAACGTACAGATCCTGCTCTGTCCTAACTCCTGCGGAGGGAAAGCACAGACAAATTCCGATCAGGATTTCGGGAGCGAACCCCCCCAATCCCACAAGGAAAGGATGAGGTCAGGCAATTAACCGCAGCGGGCAGGGATCGGCCCCGCGCCGGCTTCAGCAGAAAATTCAAAATTTCAAAAAAAGAAGAAAAAAAAAATTAATAACGATAAAAATTAGCCGGGAATCAGCCGGTGCCGGAGTTGTGTTGAGCCCGGTGCTCGGGGAGTCGTGGCCGAGCCAGCCCCCCCCCGGCCGCGGCCCCACGGCCCCGGGGAACACGCGGGACCCCGGGCGCTGGAGCTCCGCGTCCCCCCGCGGCTTTTCCGCGCCCGAGGAAGCGGCTCCGCCGGGCCGGGGCTCCGCTCTGCCCGCTCGCCCCATCCCAATAATTACTATCAATTCCCAAAACTGAAAAAAAAAAAAAGTCCCTTAAAAGTGCCGCTGTGCCCGAGCAGCCATCGATCCCCTTTTTTACTTTCCACTTCAAGCCCAGCCGGTTAATCATGTGAAGTACCATTGACTTATCGATCCTTTATGTTTTGTTTTCCTTATATGCCAAGGAAAGAGCCGTGTTTACACGCGTGTAATTTTAATCTCGAAATCTTTATATCCTTTATCCCCCTGCCCCCCCCCCCCCCCCAAAAAAAAAAAGGCCTCGGAAGGAAAATCAGACTTTTCTGCGGCACACGGACGCTCAAAAATGAGAGAACGACAACTTACCATTGCTATACAATAACTGAAGTTTATAATGAATCCCATTGTTAGTTTTTTCATTGTTTGGCTCCTGCAAGCAACGATAAATAATTACATTTAGCATGAAAAATATCGCCCTCCTCCTGCTGCCCATTTTCTCGTCCCTGAAGCGGCTCGGAATTAACAGTTTGCAGAAATTCAGCCCACGGTCACCTCTTTTTTTTTTTTTTTTTTTTTTTTTTTTTCCTGGTGTGGAGCGCTGATGATGTCATTAGCTCGGTGCAAATATGTCATGTTTTGCCGTTTTCCCGGTGTTTAAAATAAGTCGGGGGCCGCGGCGCTAAGTTTCTAACCCCGGGGTTATTCGGAGCGGCCGTGAGACCGGGGGGAGCCGCACGTGGCGTGGGCGCCGCTGGAGTGCCGGGAGAGCTGCCGTGCTGGGAATGAGCTCTGCTCCACTCAATTACGCTTAAAAATTAAAAAAAAAAAAAAAAAATTTAAGATAACTGGCAGACTTACTTTCTCTTTCTCCACAAAGTCCACAAAAGCTGTTCTCTCAATCTCCACCGGCTGTCCCTGCCTGTCGTACAGAGCTAAGACGAAGTGGAAAAAATTGGATTTTCTGAGATTGGAAGGCGGCTGTTTCTCGAAATGTGCCCGAGCCAGCCCCACGCCGCTGCGGGAGAAAACAAGACAAGGCGTGGGTGAGAGCGGCGGGAAGGGGCGCGCAGGCTCCGCGGCCGCGGGGGGATGCGGGGGGATGCGGGGAGCGCGGAGCGGCGCGGAGCGGGGAGGCTGTAACTGATACGGGGCGGGCGGGGGGGGGGGGTTAAGGGGGGGGGGATTTACGGCCGGGATGAGAAATACAGGAGGAGAAAACCGCCGGGAGAGGATTTGGCAGACGTACCTTTGGGCGGCCGTGTTAGCATCCACTACCCCAGCTGTATGCATCCATGAGCGGACGGGGTTCATCCCACTGCCCAGCGGTTCTTCTTTCATGGTCGTCCCACCTCTTGGTATATTTTCCTGAATCCCAAACATTAAAACAAATTTGGGCAAAACCAGCTCCTAACCAAAAGGGGTTAAAATTGAGGGAAATGTCAGATACGGGGTGGGTTGGTTGTTGCTTGATTTTCTCTCTCTCTCTCTCTCTCTCTCCCTCCTTGGCGACTGGAATATAAGAGATGACTTTACTCCCTGTGATCAGTAGGAGAAAAGCTCAGTTCAAGTCTTGCTTCCTTCTTCAATCTGTCCTGTATTGGCACGACATAAACAATTTACTGAGTACTTCTGTGCGGCGAGTTGGATGGCGTTCCAGTTTGGTGGTTTAAAAAAAAAAAAAAAAAAAAAAAAAAAAAAAAAAAAAAAAAAGAAGGAAAAAGTATAACTGCAGCCGGCGACACTGCGAGGTGGCTTTTTTTTTTAGGGGGGGAGGGGGGAAAAAAGAATAAATATTTTTGTTGTTGTTGTTTGCAGACGCGCTCAACGTGGTGTCATCCTAGTAAAAACCGGCTCGGCAAAAAAAAAAAAGCTTCAGGACACTGCTGAATCGACCACTTTCTGGCAAGGCTCTCCTGCTCCAAAAGACAAATAAACGGGGGGGAAAGGGAAAAAAAAAAAAAAAAAAAAAAAAAAATCCTGATTACCGCGGAGGTGTTGCCGGGCACACGGGAGAACGGGGCGCGGGCCCGTGGCGGCTCGCGGAATGGACGGAGGCGCGCAGAGCCCGGCCCTCCCTCCCCGAGGAGCGCGCCCCTTCCCCGGGAGCCGGGCCCCCGCCGCCGCGGGAGACGTGGCGTCACCCATGACGTAGCGGAGAGGGCGTGGCCACGCCCAAATATGGAGCGCGGGGTCCGGCGGCGCGCCCGCCCGTTCTGCACACCCCCCCCCCCCCCCCCCCCCCCCCCCCCCCCCCCCCCCCCCCCCCCCCCCCCCCCCTCCCCCCCCCCGCCACAGCCACAGCGACGGCGACACGCGGGCCGGGCTGCGCCCCCCGGAGGGGTCACGGCTGACCCCAGCGCAGGGGTCGCGGCGCGGCTCGGGCCGGACAAAGGGTGGGATGCTGGGTGCGCCCCCCGCGCTATAAATGCAGCGCGGACATGGCCAGGGATACCTGTGCCTGAGACTTGGTGTGCACACGCAAAGCCAGCCCCGGCTCTAGGTCCATCTGTGTTTGTGTATCTCCATAGAAATATAGATTTCTGTGTATTTGGTCTGTTTGTATACGTTTTTATATATTGGCATATATGTGTATATTGATATCTATTTGTATATTGATATATAGCTATTTTTATATATTGATATTCTTATATATTGATATTCTCATGTATCGATATTCTCATATATTATATTCTTATATATTATAGTCTTATACATTATATTCTTATATATTATCTTCTTATATATTATATTCTTATATATTGATATTCTCATATATTCTTATATATTGATATTCTTATATATTACATTCTTATCTATTATATTCTTATCTATATTGATGTTCTTATACATACTGATATTCTTATATATTGATTTTTATACATATTGACGTCTTTTATATATTTACATGTTATATCTGTACATCGTCTCCTCAACTGATGAGCCTTTTCCACCCAGTGTGGGCTACGACTTCCTTGTACTATTATTTTTTATTATTATTATTTTTTGGTGTTTGTTTTTGCGAATTTCCCACGTCCCCGCGTTAATATTTCCCGAACTCGGGGAAAATCGGCGCTCATATCTGAATGAATCGGTGAAAATCGAAAGTCCGATTTGTGTTATCAGGATCCCCTTTCTCCAAGGGGTGAGGGAAAAGAATGGGGGAAAAAAAAAAAAAAAAAGGATGTGTTAGAAAGCAATCTATTTTGCTGGTGTTGGGGGTTAATGACTATTGCCAAAGATAAGTGAATTATCAAAGCTGTTGCTCTACCCGATCTCAAAATCCATTACATTGCTGGCCGTCTAATTAAATACGTAAGTATAATAAAATCATATTTTATGACTATTTGAGGGTAATGAGATTAGTCTTTAGAAGCGATCGCCACATATTAAAGATGCCACTGTCTATAGAATGTTAATAACCTTAAATCAAAGTGTATGGAAACTATTCATGAGAAATTAAAAGAAAATTCCTGTATTCATAATCAGCCCGGAGCTTTTGAGGTACAGTAGAGCAGATTACAAACCCAAACACTTTTATCGCGCAGAGAGAGATACCAAAGTTCCCAAACAATGCCATGCTCGCGGTGGCATTTGGTGGCACGGACACATTTGGGGACCTGGAGCCGGCGCCGGGGGCTGCGGGTCCCCCCAGTCCGCAAAATCCTCCCTGCTAAAAATCAGGTAAAAAATGTCCAACACCGCTATTATTGCAAGATATTTCCTCAAATGAACAACGCCGAACTTGGTGCTTCCCCTCCGCTAACGAAAGCTTAAAATCATTTACAGTATCTTTAATTCAGATTACACGCGCCAAGGCGATTTAAATCTGATTACCAAATTAGAAGGTTTTAAAACAAATCCTTTTAAATCTGATACTGTTGACTAAGGAGGGGAGAAAAAAAAAAGTTCCATAAGCCCATCACATAAGGTAACGATCCTGCCCCAGAAAGAAAGGGAGTTTTAAACCTTTTTGACAACAAATGCAGCTGCCCCACTATTTTGGACGATATTAAGCGAAAATGAATGCAAATCTGTGTTCAGAAGCCATCTGGCCAGGAATGGGGGAATCAGCTGCTCCTCACAACAGGCTCTGAGCCTGAATCTATTTCAGCTCATTTTCTAGATCATCTGGTCCTGCACCCAAAGCGTGGAAAATACGGTCTTTATCATTCACCAACTTTATCTTTTTTTTTTTTCTTTTTTTTTTCCTTTTTTTTTTGTCACTCTGGCTGGCTGGAGCTGCCGGCGGCCGGGGGAGCCCTCCCGGGCTGCTGCTGCTGCTGCTGCCGCTTCCCGCACCGCCCCGCACGGCTCCCAGGCCGGCATCCCGCGGGGTGCCCGCCCCCGGCGGCTCCTCGCTGTTCGGTGGCTCCGGGAGGGAGGGAGGGAGGGGAGCGACGGCCGGGCCCCCCCAGCCCCGGGCGGGTTGCGGGAGCGCAGCCCCGGGCTGGGCGCACCTTGCGCGGAGCGGGCAGGGGGTGTGCGCGGCTGCGGGGGGCCGGCCCGAGCCCTCCCGGCTCCGCGGCCCTCCTCCTTTTCCACCTCCTCCTCCTCCTCCTCCTCCTCCTCCGGCGCCAAGTCTCCCTTTTGTGTGAATTTACGGGGTGAGGCTTCAGTGATCCCCCCGCAAATTTGCATTTAAATAGCGACATCAAGCGATGCGCGTGCCACACACCAGCGGGCTCCCAGATGTCACGGCGGAGGAGCTCAGATGGCCGCAGCCCAGCTGTCCCCCGGCCCGGCCCGGCCCCGCTCCGCTCCGCGCCCCCCGCACCGCCCGGCCCGACACGGGCAGCCCCCGCAGCGCGTCCTCCTGCCCCGCGCTGGGGGCCGGACACGGAACCCCGCGCTGTGCGCGGCTTAAAACTCACGCTTTTATTCCTACCGCCCTGAGAGTATTCCCTGAAACTTTATTATTTTATTTTTTTCCCCCCTCGGGATAATCCCCTCGGGACTATTATCTCAATCATTTCACTTTTTTTTTTTTTCTTCTCTTCACCTATTATTATTTCTTGTTTATTTCTCATTTCACGGTTTAAATCAACCAAGTTGGAGAGCGTAATTTTGGTAATTCCGCTATTTCCTCGACCCTGGGCCGGCCCTGAGCTGCCCAGCTCCGCGCTTCTCACCGCACAAACTTTCCCCAGCGGGAAGTTGCGGTGGGAGCGGCGGCCCCGGCCCTGCTCTCGGGGGGCTCGGCCGTGTCCCCGCAGCTCGCCAAGGTCCATATTTCAATTTAATTGTTGGAAGGCGCCTTCATTACCAACGCGCCGGGTTACACCGGGCGTAATTTATGCCCGGTGTAACCGAAGCAAATCTCTACAAACTCCCGTGCTGCAGGAGGGAGAAATTGGTGTTTTGGGGTAAATTGGTATTTTCAGGTACGGCGGCCCCGCGGCCGCTGCTTCAGGGCGTTCATCCCCGGCCGGGTGCTGATAACGCGGGGGCGCAGCGCGGCGGGGACCCAGCCCGGCCCTTGCGCGGGGGGTCGCGCATCCTTGGCCAGGGGTAGAGGCCGAACGCGGCCCAGCAGCGGAGCGGAGAGGAGCGGAGAGGAGCGGAGGAGCCGAGGCCGGAGCTGCCGCCGCTGCTTTGGGGCTCCTCGGCCTCGCTGCCAGCCCAGGCCCCCAGAGCCCCGCCACGGGCAGAGCTTGCGGGAAGGGCCGGGACCCCCGCACCGCCCGCCGGCTCCCCTTTCGGGACGGATTCACCCGCGCCGGGCTCATTTCAGAGCTTGGATTCGCATTCCTGAGCATCCCGGGCCCTCTGAGAAGCGCACGGGGCCAGCGGTGCGCTCCAGCCGCCCGCCCCGCGGGGCGCAGCCGGGAGCGGGTACGGCCAGGGGGGGCTGAGCTGCTCCGCGCCCCGCGCAGGCACCGCAGGGCGGCTGCAGGGAGAGGGGACGCTGTCCCTGTCCCTGCCCCCGGCCGTGCCTGGTGGCCCTGGGTCCCCTCGGCCGGCCGGCCGCGCACCTCCCGCGCTCCTGCGCGGCTCCCGGCCAGGCTGAGCGGAGGCGCGGTGGGTCGGGCTCGGGGTCACGGAACTCCCTGTGGGTGCAGGGTTGTTTTATCCAAACTGGCTCTCGGCCCTGCGCTCCCCCCGGCGAGCTCCCGCGGCCCTGCGCCCCGATATTGTTACATCAAAATTAGTTATTAAAAAAAAAAAAATAAAAGGAAAAATAAAGGGAAAAAAAGACTTAAACTTCCGCCGTGCCCGAGAGCCAGCCCTGCTAGCCGTGCCCCCAACGGGAGCTTTTCCTCGGGAATAAACTCCCCGCGGGCGCTGCCCGGCTCCCGGCGGCCCGAGGGCGCGGCGCGGGCTCTGCCCTCCCGGTCCCCGCGGGATGCGCGGCCGCGGCCCGGGGATGCTGCGGGGCCGCGGCGTCTCTGCCCCCCGGGGCCCCGGGAAGGGGCTTGGGGCTGCCCGGAGCCGCGCAGGCGGAGGAGCAGCCGCCCCCGCGGAAGAGCGCGGGCGCGCAGCCGGGGCCGCGGGGAGCTGGCGGCCGGACAGGTCCCATCGTGCGGCGGGAACAATATAAACTGACTCCAACTGAACAAACAAGGATCGATCAGATAATTTCAGATATTATAATTGGCTTTAATTAAACACACTTCGTTCTAATTAACTCTGAAATTTTAGCATGCTTTGGGACGTTGGTGTCTGATTTGATATTGTCAGTCCAGATGTCCTAATAAAAT